CTCAAATTATATACTTTCCTCTCTCTGAAATGGTCATTCCACTACAGCACCTCAGAATTGAAGGAAACTGAAAGGAAACCACATCCAGTCCAATAGCAGCTGAAACTGTCTGTGTCTGTGTGTCTGTGTCTGCGTATCTGCCTGTGTGTGTGTGTGCTCATTTAGGGCTGTTCTGGGCACCACTGAAGTGCCATTAGGGTCGTCTTTACACAGAACATCCTGTTTATGTCTGCTGAGCCAACAGAGCTACTGATGTAAAACACATTGAAACAGACCATCATATACACCTGGACATTCAGATGACCCTCTGCTTCTCTCTAAAGCAGTTAGAGAGAGAAGGGAATGGAAGCAACGAGAGCGGGGCTAACTGCTACAATCAAGTCTCCTCTTCAAGTGCTTTTGAGTTGTTGTGATCTCTGCCGGTTATGACCGCCTCCCTAATTTCTATGCAGATATATGCAAATGTTTTCATCAGCCTACCAGGTTTTGATTTCCACCTCTTTTCATGTGCGACCTTGCTTATTAGAAAACACTAACAATCGTTCGATTTTGTAAGGGGACGCTGTGGAGAAGGGCACAGGATGTGGTGGGGGGACAGGTGTTGATGTGACACCCCTTCATATTTACAGTAACAGTCTCAGTTCACACCTGCTAGGGCTCCCTGTAACCCAGGAGCACTGGGGGAGGGGCTTGTTTACACCTCCTCCAATCCTGTTTAAGAAGCCTTGTCTCTGTGCTCTCAATTATAGACAGGTGGTCTGTTTAACCTATCGGCCGGCTTGAAGAGGAACACCTGTATTCTGGGTTGGTGCTTCTCCATTGATGCAGTGCAGAGTGGGAATGGGTTGGTGCTTCTCCATTGATACAGTGCAGAGTGGGAATGGGTTGGTGCTTCTCCATTGATACAGTGCAGAGTGGGAATGGGTTGGTGCTTCTGCATTGATACAGTGCAGAGTGGGAATGGGTTGGTGCTTCTCCATTGATACAGTGCAGAGTGGGAATGGGTTGGTGCTTCTCCATGGATACAGTGCAGAGTGGGAATGGGTTGGTGCTTCTCCATTGATACAGTGCAGAGTGGGAATGGGTTGGTGCTTCTCCATTGATACAGTGCAGAGTGGGAATGGGTTGGTGCTTCTGCATTGATGCAGTGCAGAGTGGGAATGGGTTGGTGCTTCTGCATTGATACAGTGCAGAGTGGGAATGGGTTGGTGCTTCTCCATGGAGACAGTGCAGAGTGGGAATGGGTTGGTGCTTCTCCATGGATACAGTGCAGAGTGGGAATGGGTTGGTACTTCTCCATTGATACAGTGCAGAGTGGGAATGGGTTGGTGCTTCTGCATTGATGCAGTGCAGAGTGGGAATGGGTTGGTGCTTAAGTCGCTCTGGATAAGAGTGTCTGCTAAATGACTTAAATGTAAATGTGCTTCTCTCCTGTCAGCAGCCCTGTGCTGAGGTGCTGGGGGTTGATACTAAAGCCTGTCACGTTGTGGAAGGGGAATCGGTCGGCTACCCCAGACAGCAACTTGATGAGGCTCCCTGATCAATACACACCTCACCCAAAACCTCCTCGCCTGCAGGCAGCTGGAGTCCCTGTGTTGAGTTACACACACACACACGTCTGTGTGTCTGCGTATCTGCCTGTGTGTGTGTGTGCTCATTTAGGGCTGTTCTGGGCACCACTGAAGTGCCATTAGGGTCGTCTTTACTCAGAACATCCTGTTTATGTCTGCTGAGCCAACAGAGCTACTGATGTAAAACACATTGAAACAGACCATCATATACACCTGGACATTCAGATGACCCTCTGCTTCTCTCTAAAGCAGTTAGAGAGAGAAGGGAATGGAAGCAACGAGAGCGGGGCTAACTGCTACAATCAAGTCTCCTCTTCAAGTGCTTTTGAGTTGTTGTGATCTCTGCCGGTTATGACCGCCTCCCTAATTTCTATGCAGATATATGCAAATGTTTTCATCAGCCTACCATGTTTTTAGTTCCACCTCTTTTCATGTGCGACCTTGCTTATTAGAAAACACTAACAATCGTTGTCAGAGGCTGTCACAATGTTGGAAGGGAACGCTGTGGAGAAGGGCACAGGATGTGGTGGGGGGACAGGTGTTGATTTGACACCCCTTCATATTTACAGTAACAGTCTCAGTTCACACCTGCTAGGGCTCCCTGTAACCCAGGAGCACTGGGGGAGGGGCTTGTTTACACCTCCTCCAATCCTGTTTAAGAAGCCTTGTCTCTGTGCTCTCAATCATAGACAGGTGGTCTGTTTAACCTATCGGCCGGCTTGAAGAGGAACACCTGTATTCTGGGGTTTGGGGCTTCTCCATTGATGCAGTGCAGAGTGGGAATGGGTTGGTGCTTCTCCATTGATACAGTGCAGAGTGGGAATGGGTTGGTGCTTCTCCATTGATACAGTGCAGAGTGGGAATGGGTTGGTGCTTCTGCATTGATACAGCAGAGTGGAATGGTTGGTGCTTCTCCATTGATACAGTGCAGAGTGGGAATGGGTTGGTGCTTCTCCATGGATACAGTGCAGAGTGGGAATGGGTTGGTGCTTCTCCATTGATACGTGCAGAGTGGGAATGGGTTGGGGCTTCTCCATTGATACAGTGCAGAGTGGGAATGGTTGGTGCTTCTGCATTGATGCAGTGCAGAGTGGAATGGTTGGTGCTCTGCATTGATACAGTGCAGAGTGGGATGGTTGGTGCTTCTCCATGGAGACAGTGCAGAGTGGGAATGGGTTGTGCTTCTCCATGGATACAGTGCAGAGTGGGAATGGTTGGTACTTCTCATTGATACAGTGCAGAGTGGGAATGGGTTGGTGCTTCTGCATTGATGCAGTGCAGAGTGGGAATGGGTTGGTGCTTAAGTCGCTCTGGATAAGAGTGTCTGCTAAATGACTTAAATGTAAATGTGCTTCTCTCCTGTCAGCAGCCCTGTGCTGAGGTGCTGGGGGTTGATACTAAAGCCTGTCACGTTGTGGAAGGGGAATCGGTCGGCTACCCCAGACAGCAACTTGATGAGGCTCCCTGATCAATACACACCTCACCCAAAACCTCCTCGCCTGCAGGCAGCTGGAGTCCCTGTGTTGAGTTACACACACACACACGTCTGTGTGTCTGCGTATCTGCCTGTGTGTGTGTGTGCTCATTTAGGGCTGTTCTGGGCACCACTGAAGTGCCATTAGGGTCGTCTTTACTCAGAACATCCTGTTTATGTCTGCTGAGCCAACAGAGCTACTGATGTAAAACACATTGAAACAGACCATCATATACACCTGGACATTCAGATGACCCTCTGCTTCTCTCTAAAGCAGTTAGAGAGAGAAGGGAATGGAAGCAACGAGAGCGGGGCTAACTGCTACAATCAAGTCTCCTCTTCAAGTGCTTTTGAGTTGTTGTGATCTCTGCCGGTTATGACCGCCTCCCTAATTTCTATGCAGATATATGCAAATGTTTTCATCAGCCTACCATGTTTTTAGTTCCACCTCTTTTCATGTGCGACCTTGCTTATTAGAAAACACTAACAATCGTTGTCAGAGGCTGTCACAATGTTGGAAGGGAACGCTGTGGAGAAGGGCACAGGATGTGGTGGGGGGACAGGTGTTGATTTGACACCCCTTCATATTTACAGTAACAGTCTCAGTTCACACCTGCTAGGGCTCCCTGTAACCCAGGAGCACTGGGGGAGGGGCTTGTTTACACCTCCTCCAATCCTGTTTAAGAAGCCTTGTCTCTGTGCTCTCAATCATAGACAGGTGGTCTGTTTAACCTATCGGCCGGCTTGAAGAGGAACACCTGTATTCTGGGTTGGTGCTTCTCCATTGATGCAGTGCAGAGTGGGAATGGGTTGGTGCTTCTCCATTGATACAGTGCAGAGTGGGAATGGGTTGGTGCTTCTCCATTGATACAGTGCAGAGTGGGAATGGGTTGGTGCTTCTCCATTGATACAGTGCAGAGTGGGAATGGGTTGGTGCTTCTGCATTGATGCAGAGTGGGAATGGGTTGGTGCTTAAGTCGCTCTGGATAAGAGCGTCTGCTAAATGTGCTGAGGTGCTGGGGGTCGATACTAAAGCCTGTCACGTTGTGGAAGGGGAATCAGTCGGCTACCCCAGACAGCAACTTGATGAGGCTCCCTGATCAATACACACCTCACCCAAAACCTCCTCGCCTGCTGGCTCACACACACACACACACACACACACACACGCACACACACACACACACACAGCAGGTCGATGACTCAGAGGTCTCTCTCTCGGCTCAAACAGACAGATAATGCCGGATTCAATGCAGGCAGCTGGAGTCCCTGTGTTGAGTTACACACACACACACACACACACACACACCCTATGCTGGGCCTCCGTCACACACTCACTCTCAGGTCTTATCTTCGCAGCTCAGCCACTCAAACACACCCTCTCATTACATCACACACATCCCACTCCGACAGCTGTAGAGAACAGACTCTCCTATCAAAGGAACAGGGGATGAGTAGTTCTCATCACACTGTCTCTCCTGTCTGTTCAATAGGACAGGTTAGGATTTCATGAGTAATTCTCATCACATTCTCTCCTGTCTGTTCAATAGGGCAGGTTAGGATTTCATGAGTAGTTCTCATCACATTCTCTCCTGTCTGTTCAATAGGAAAGGTTAGGATTTCAAGAGTAATTCTCATCACATTCTCTCCTGTCTGTTCAATAGGGCAGGTTAGGATTTCATGAGTAGTTCTCATCACATTCTCTCCTGTCTGTTCAATAGGGCAGGTTAGGATTTCAAAGCCTCCAGTATAGTTACAGTATGTCCTCAGATCATCAGTACAGACATTTGAAGGCTGTCTGTACAGGACAATGTTATGATAGTTGTGATGTTCTGTCTCTCCTGTGTGTGTCTGTGTGTGTGTGTGTGTGTGTGTGTGTGTGTGTGTGTGTGTGTGTGTGTGTGTGTGTGTGTGTGTGTGTGTGTGTGTGTGTGTGTAGGCCCTGTGGCTCAGGTGGAGGCCCTAAAGGAAGAGAATGACTCTCTGCGCTGTCAGCTGGATGCCTACAGGAACGAGGTGGAGCTGCTGAAGCAGGAGCAGGGCAAGAACCAAGAACACACACCTCCACAACACAGTGAAGAGGACACCATCAGGCAGCAACAACTAACCTTTCTACAACAGGCACTACAGGGAATGCAGAAGGTACTACTTCTACCACACATACACAGTGGAGTTAACTTCTTGCAGCAGGTCCTACTTTGGATTTCTTTTAAGCAATTTCACAGGAATCTTTAACTTCCTGGTTCCATACAGATATTAAACCCCTGCAGATTCTGGCTGGTGAGACTCATAATCCATTGGTTTGGCTTCTTGGGGTGACTAGTCGTTTTGTGGAAAAGGGACTTTTAATAGAGGTGGATAGAGAACTGCCCTCCCAATCACACACACACACATACGCACGCACGCACACACACACACACACACAACACTGAGAAAGAGGGAGAGTGAGGGACAGGGCGAGAGAGAGGGACAGGGAGATAGAGAGGGATAGGGAGAGAGAGATGCAAGGTGAAAACGAGAGCAGCAGAGGGGTGCACTCTGAGAGTACGATGGATAGAGACGGTCATGCTCATATGAATAGACAGATGGTAATTACTTTTCTAACAAACAAGTTTGAACATTTCCATGAAAATATTAAATGAATGGATTAAAAGACACAAATCAGATGCTTCTTATTGCTCTGTGCTAAATTGCGGGCTCTGGCGTATTACCATAAAATGTTGTCAGCAGGTGACTTGAGTCTGCCCAGGTTCTGCGAATTTCTTCCACTTGTGAGTCATGTAATAATACGTGCGTATTTCAGCCTAAACCCAACTGAGACTGTGATGTTTTTTTTATAAGATTAAATGGATAAGGAGAAAGGACTTTTCAGCTTCTACATGGTTCTGACCTGGAGAAGCAGAGACACTACATAGAGAAGCTATGAGCTAAAAGTTCCTTACTCAATGGTAAATCCTGAAACATAAGGAGGATTAGCACCGCTGGCTAACTTGGTTTCCTCTATGGAGCTGATGCATAAAGGGTTAATTACTAGCAAGCGCCATATGCCTATTGTAAGCAAGCATCTGTGGCTATAACTGTGTCTTCTTTGTCTTAAGGGTTAGGTAGCATTTATGGTTATCTGTGTTATTTACAAAGCATGCTCATCTGTTTTTTTGTGTTTTGTTGGTGTAATTTTAGCAGGCCAAAAATATTTTGGCTGGTAAAAAATCTGATTTTTTTAAATCTACCTGCCACAGTGGCTGGTGGACAAAATAATTAATTGTATACCCTGCCTCTCTCTGTAGCAGACGCTTAAGGGTTAGTTAGCATCTGTGGCTAACTGCCATGTCTGTGGCAGAACCTAAGCGTTAGTTAGCATTTGGGGCTATCTGTCTTCTCTCTAAAGATTTGTTAAAATCTGTAGTTTCCTCCCGAGTGGCGCAGCGGTCTAAGGCACTGCATCGCAGTCACTACAGACCCGGTTTCGATCACAGGCTGTGTCGCAGCAATTGGCCCAGCGTCATCCGGGTTAGGGGAGGGTTTGGCCGACTGTAACTACCAATTGGATATCACGAAATTGGTGAGAAAAAGGGGTAAAAAGTAGTATTTAACTTAGCCTCTGTATCAGAAGCTTCAAAGGATACAGTTGCACAGTTGCTAATTAGCATTAGCATAATGACTGGAAGTCTGCTAACAGATACCATAGACTTTCAGTCATTGTGCTAATGCTAGTTAAACATTGGCTTGTGAAACTACCTCTAACTTTTTTCATTCTTGTCATAAAAATGGTATCCACGAGTTCATCTGACTCTGGGGAAGTAGATAAAGGGCCTCATTGCCAATATCCTGAAGTATCCCTTTAAAGGTTAGTTAGCATATGTGGCTCAAAGTATGTCCTCTGTGTTTGCAGCAACTGCTGAAGATGTGTGAAGAAATGAAACAGAGGGAGGCGGAGCTGGAGAAGAGTGTGGAGGACAAACAGCAGCTTGAGAGCCAAGTACAGAGTCTCAAGGAAGGACTGGAGAGTCTGAAGAAAACACGCACACCACAGGTCAGTAACACAGACACACAACACACACACCACAGGTCAGTCACACACACACACACACCACAGGTCAGTAACACAGACACACAACACACACACCACAGGTCAGTAACACAGACACACAACACACACACCACAGGTCAGTAACACAGACACACAACACACACACCACAGGTCAGTAACACAGACACACAACACATGCCCTTCACAGGCCCTAACACACACTGTCATAGTGCAAGCTTTAAAGAACACTTGACAGTTTGGCTCATTTGAAAGGCGCCTGTGGTTTGAAATGGAATTACCATATGGTAGACTTGAATTACAATTTATTTTGTTTCATTCCACAATGGTATTACATTTCTTCAATATCTTAACTCACAGTGGTAAAGAAGTGTCCCCACTAGACATTGATTTCAAACAGTTAATTTAGAATTCCATAGAGAGAGGGGTCGAATAGAATGATGTATATAGAGAGAGACGGGTCATTTTAGTAGTATGCCATACAGAGCATTCGGAAAGTATTCAGACAAGGGGTCTGAATACTTTCCGAATGCACTGTATATAGAGAAAGACTGCTCAATCATCTTTACATCAAACTAGCCTCTTCAAACTATCTACTAGATTCACCACCACTTTCTGACTAACTTCTTTACACTAAACCAGCCTCTGTAAACTGAAACAGCATACTACATTTACCAAGTATCACAATACTGTTTATGGCGCTGTGCCACTGCACAGGCTAAAACATCTTCATACTAGCCATATAAAGAGAACTGCCAAAATAAAGGAAACACTTGAGTAAATGAGGGATACGAAGTATATTGAAAGCAGGTGCTTCCACACAGGTGTGGTTTTCTGAGTTAATTAAGCAATTAACATCCCATCATGCTTAGGAAGATGTATAAAAAAAAGTGTGTGTGTGTCACCAGATCTCAACCCAATTGAACACTTATGGGAGATTCTGGAGGAGCCCCTGAGATGGTGTTTTCCACCACCATCAACAAAACCCCAAATGATGGAATTTCTCGTGGAAGATTGGTGTCACATCCCTCCAATAGAGTTCCAGACACTTGTAGAATCTGGATAAGAGCGTCTGCTAAATGACTTAAATGTAAATGTAAACTAAGGCGCATTGAAGCTGTTCTGGCGGCCCGTGGTGGGACAATGCCCTATTAAGACACTTTATGTTGGTGTTTCCTTTATTTTGGCAGTTACCTGTATATAGATAGCCTACGCGCTTGAAGGTGCACTTTACATTAGTTGTATATCTTTAGCAGCTAAAATCTATATTGTCCCCTATAGAGCTGTAATCAGGGCATAAAATTAACTTTTTGGTCCACCAGCCACTGTGGCAGGTAGATTAAAAAATATTTTTTGCAATTCATTTAGCAGCTATTAATCAAAACCGCTACTGCAGCATTTATATTACTATAAATGTGATAATACTTGACTATTTTTATTCACAAATGCGAGTGAAATGCTCGCACTGTGGAGCCCTGACCACCCACCAACTTGGCTGGTGAAATATACATCTTATCCACCAATGCCACAATCTACCCGTGTGTGTTAATGTTAGGCCCTGGCTGTAATAAAGCCAGTGTTAATGCTTGTGTTGCTCATGGGATAACGTTGGCTGAGCAGGATTCCAGAGGGAGGGTTGACAAGAGCATGAGCTTCCTGTTCAATCAGCTATTTAGTCAGATAAAGAGAATACTGATATGAGAGTCAAATGGTGCGTGCTCCATATTTGATTGCATGTTTTCCGATCTAGACAAATGTTCTCTTCTCTGCCTCCCGTCGGCGCTTGGCTAGTTGTTTCATTGACTTTGGTGAATTAGTCATTCTAGACCTGGTGGCTGGGTAATATATATTAATTAAAATCATAGAAAGTGACAGAGTTGTCAATATCTGGTTTAATGGTGATGCCATAGATTAGAATGCCACTAGGTGATCCATGGGAAATATATAGAGATGATCCCCTTCCAGTGATCCATGGGTAATATGGTAATTAAAGCATGTTTACACACAGAGATGAACCCCTTCCAGTGATTCATGGGTAATATGGTAATTAAAGCATGCATACATGCATACATTAACCCCTTCCAATGATCCATGGGTAATATGGTAATTAAAGCATGTATACACACAGAGATGGCTCACTGGAGACTCATTAACAGAAGATAGAAGTCTATTTGAGGAAGGCGTTACTCTCTAGATTTGTGGCCATTGTGGAATGATAGTGTGTGTTGCCAACTTGTTAACCCCAGAGCCCAATTCACTGTCCAAGTTGTCACCAAGCATTATGTATTCTAGCTTTTTCGGTTACTGTACCACCAACTGAATTTTGCTCTGCCCGGAGTACCCCTGGAGTACCCCCTCATGAGCATTTTACCAGTAAGCCTATGGTCTCATGAGTCTTCTCAAGTACCCCCTGTGGATAGGCCAAGTACCCCTAGGACCCCTGGTTGGGAACCACTGTTCTAGAGCAGGTCGTTCTATTAACAGGCAATCTCATCACCAGAAGAACACACACTATTCTCTGTGTCCCTTCATCTAGAACCACTGAATCGGGCTTCATTACATTGACATTTACGTCATTTAGCAGACGCTCTTATCCAGAGCGACTTACAATCTAGGACCACTGAATCAGGCTTCATCTAGGACCACTGAATGAGGCTTCATCTAGGACCACTGAATCAGGCTGTCTTAACCATTTTAATAGAAAACGGAGATAGACACCACTCACTGTGTGAATACCAGTCGTGAACAGAAGACATTTTGACATCCAATTATGTTTGGTTCTTACTCATGGAAAGAACACAGATTAATATGTACTGTATGTCTCTGCTCTATCTAATCTGATCTGATTCTATATCTTTTTGCACAATACAACATACCCCCTCAGACTATTCAGGGATTGTATATGTGATGTTGACCTCTCCCTTACAGTTTTTTATAGTGGTCTTGCCTGAGGAGAAAGTGTGTCTGTATGTTTGCATGAGTGTGTGACATGTTTGTCAGTGACGGCTTTTCTCATTTTTATGATTGACTCTAGCTGGAGACATCACCGCGAGATGACAGAGGGAGCGAGGAGAGTGCTGATCAAGTCAATGTAAGTGGAAAATAGATTTGACCCTCTCCATCCCTCTCTCTCCCCCTCTGTTCCCCATCTCCCTTTCTCTGTTCCTCACTTTCTCTCATCTCCCAGATACATGACAGATCACCTAGTCGGCTCAGAGATTCGAACCAGCAACCTTCCGGTTACTGGCCCAATGCTCTTAACCGCTAGGCTACTTGCCGCCCCACACGCATGTGTGTTTAAATAAGAATGTGAATATTAGACAGTGACGGCTTTTCTCATTTTTATGATTGACTCTAGCTGGAGACATCACCGCGAGATGACAGAGGGAGCGAGGAGAGTGCTGATCAAGTCAATGTAAGTGGAAAATAGATATGACCCTCTCCATCCCTCTCTCTCCCCCTCTATTCCCTGTCTCTGTTTCTCTGTTCCTCACTTTCTCTCCTCTTCCAGTGACATGACAGATCATTACAGACCAATCCAGTGCAGGATGACTTTATTTGTCGCAGGATAAATCAACCCGACACAACTGGATTAGGAAATCAAGCAGTGCCCACACACACTCTCTCACACCACACACCTCAGTCACACAGACACAAACACACATACCTGACCCTCCCTCCTCCAGCCTGTCAGAAGCCCACAGCAAACAACAGCTTCATCATTAGCATCGCTAACACTCTCTCTCACTCTTCTCTGGTAGAACTATTGCTGTGGTCTCCACTCTGAAATATCTCCTGCCTTTGTCTCCCCTCTCTTCTTCCATCTGTCTGATATCAAAGTGGTGCGTTATCGGGGCTGCTATGCACTGATTGCTTGTGTGTGTGGGCAGGCGGGCGTCATCTACCAGTCTAAGTGTTTTCTCCTCTTGTCCTGTAGGAGGCGACAGCGTTAGAAGTGGTTTCCTGCAGTCAGGAGAAGGAGAGTCTGCCCCCAGAGAAGATTCCCTCCAGTCCTGTTTACTCTGAGAGAGAGGCCTTGCTAGTTGGTACGTTCACTTAAAATTACTATAACCTAACTTCCAACATTATTTTAATGTTATATTAACCTAACTATAGAGGAGAAGATCCAGTCCAGTCCACTCTGAGAGAGAGAGAGGCCCAGCTAGTCGGTACATTCACCTAACATGACTATAACGTTACTAGGCCTATAACATTAGTATAACGTTATGTTACCCTAACATTAGTATACAGGAGAAGATTCCCCCAAGTCTTGTCAACTCTGAGGGAGAAGCCCTGCTTGTTGTTACGTTCAGACATTACTGTAACATTACTACAACCTTACAACAACATTCGTACCTACAGAGGAGAACCTTCCCCTAGCGCTGTCCACTCTGGCAGAGAGGCTCTGCTTGTTGGTACATTTTTTGCTAATTAAACAGGTTATTTTTAGAGAAACTTTCATCATCCTCAATCATCAAGCAGGTTATTTGTGGAAAGTCTGGTTTTCCTCCCCAGTTTATTACCAGTTCTCTGGGCTGGTTCACACGTTTTAATTGGCTGGTTGACTGAGGCCTTCAGCACCTCTACTGTTTCTAATCACCACAGCCTTCTGGCACATTCTCCATTTCAGTGGAGGGTACTTTACACAGGGAATGGTTGGTCCTGGATCAAATAGATTTTATGAAAGTGATGTCTTGTGGAGTTACAAGGGAAAGGAATTGTGGAGTTACATTTAGGCCTATGCCAGATGGCAGGATACACACTACTGTCTGTTAGTGGGAGTTACGTGTCCTGTCCCACGGTGGTGTCATGCCAGAATGATCATAGGATTGGCTCAGAGGTAGTTATGTAGCCAATGGGGCGCTCCGCTCCCTCCCTCCATGCCGGCCCACTCTGACTGCTCAGCATAGACGGCTGCTGAGGATTCTGGGTCGTTCTCTCTGTCAAAATCACTTTACATGACGTTATGTCTGAAGATGAATTGAAGGGAGCACCACAGGGAAAAAGGGACATTGGCTACAAAGTGAACTCATTAAGAAAGTAAGGTCTGCATCCTACATTTACATTTTAGTAATTTAGCAGACACTCTTATCCAGAGCGACTTACAGTTTAGTGAGTGCATACATTTTCATACTGGCCCCCATGTGGGAAACGAACCCACAACCCTGGCGTTGCAAGCGCCATGCTCTACCAACTGAGCTACACGGGGCCACGTGTCTTCAACTGCTTTATCCCCCTCTAGAGCAGGGATTCCAACCTAGGGGTCACAATATGTATAAACCAATCTATAACGATGCTTAATGCTAGAAACAAGCAGTAAAATGCCTGAGGAAGACGCGACTCTGATGCATATGGGGATATAAATTGGACTTTGCTTTTTCCTCCAGTGTCTCATCTGGTTTATCAGTGTGTGTGTGTGTGTGTGTGTGTTTTCTGAGCTGGCTCCTCAGTGGACTATAAGATGTTATTACACAAGGGTTCAGGATTATAAGTAGTGGATGATCTGATCAATGAGTTGATAGCAGATGGTATTGTTGGAATTCATGCTGGTGGTGTGTGCGCACATGCATGTGAAGCCCCATGGTGCTCTGATCAGAGAAGCTTTCATGTAGAAAGCACATGCATGTGAAGCCCCATGGTGCTCTGATCAGAGAAGCTTTCATGTAGAAAGCACATGCATGTGAAGCCCCATGGTGCTCTGATCAGAGAAGCTTTCATGTAGAAAGCACATGCATGTGAAGCCCCATGGTGCTCTGATCAGAGAAGCTTTCATGTAGAAAGCACATGCATGTGAAGCCCCATGGTGCTCTGATCAGAGAAGCTTTAATGTAGAAAGCACATGCATGTGAAGCCCCATGGTGCTCTGATCAGAGAAGCTTTAATGTAGAAAGCACATGCATGTGAAGCCCCATGGTGCTCTGATCAGAGAAGCTTTCATGTAGAAAGCACATGCATGTGAAGCCCCATGGTGCTCTGATCAGAGAAGCTTTAATGTAGAAAGCACATGCATGTGAAGCCCCATGGTGCTCTGATCAGAGAAGCTTTAATGTAGAAAGAAGCGTCAAAGTCCTCATTAAACACTTCTCTTAATCTGGACGGTTCAAACACAAGAGTCTTCCACAGAGCTGGGAGTGCTTTGGGGAAGACGGACACACTTGAAGTCCAGACACATTTAATCAGTCAGACAACATGAGTTGACTAGTGGTCTGTTGAATGTGAGGTTCTCATTGGCTTTCATTTTGATCAGATGGGTAAATCAACAGTCAGACGGAATTTAGGTGTTTGTACATATGATTGTAGGGTTGTAGTTATAGAGTATTAAACTACATGTTAATATGGTATGCCAGTTTGATTGACAGCTGTATTGATGTCCCTGTTTGTCCTTCCTCAGGGATCATCTCTACGTTCCTCCATGTCCACCCGTTTGGAGCCAGCATCGAGTACATCTGCTCTTATCTACAGCAGCTGGACTCCAAGGTACTGCTGGCACACTGTAACAGCTTTGACTTGAGGTTATTATTTGTTAGGGTTGCCAGGTAGGTCGTGCCTACCAGAGAAAATATTGATTTCTCCTTTTTGTTTGTGAGGGAATTAATCCGGTCTGGTCTGTCAAGTCTACACCAATACAAAAGACTCATGTAAAAGTCAGTATAGAAATACACTTTAAAAGATTGGAAATAACTTCAAAATGTTATTTTGCGTTGGTTGTATTACCAAAATAAATGATCACACACATAACGTCACAACACAATGATCTCTGGTTCCTCAAGTCCTGTACCTCGGGCCTAAAAAGGGTCCAGCTCAGTAAATGAGTTCAAGTGACCTTAGTCACGCAATGTTTGTCCGTTTTTTTTTTATTTTTAAATTGTACCTTTATTTAACTAGGCAAGTCAGTTAAGAACAAATTCTTATTTACAATGACGGCCTACACCGGCCAAACCCGGACGATACTGGGCCAATTGTGCGCCGCCCTATGGGACTCCCAATCACGGCCGGTTGTGATACAGCCTGGAATCGAATCAGGGGGTCTGTAGTGACGCCTCAAGCACTGAGATGCAGTGCCTTAGACCGCTGCGCCACTCGGGAGTTCATAAAGTGTAGCTTAACCCAAGTCTCAATCATACAATTAAAATCTCTAACTCTTTTACCCCACAACAATATCAGAACTCCCAGTAGTCTTCACCAACAACTGAACATATAACCTAACACGGTGTAAATCACGCTAAAACAAATGAAATTCCAGTTGGAAAAAGTTGTAGTCAGGCAGTCAGTCAATCCAATCCATCAACAGATCTCCAGCTGAGAGGTCACAGAGAACAGCGGAGACCAACTGAGATGTGTTGTCCAAAGGAAGAAATTAGTGGATCTGGTCCTGGTTAATCTTGAGACACGGCTACAAAGCACACAATACAACAAAACAAACGGAGTAAAGGAGCTTCGGAAACGAGGGTTCAACACTTCCTCATTCGCAACACCGTCGCAACCCTTTTTTTGCGCAGCTGATGCTGGTGCAGGCAGCTTCCCCCTAATGCAATTTGAATCATCCCCTTGTGACAGCAGAGCCCCATCGTGCAGCAAGGGTTTCCTCATGCAGCCAGGTCCTTCACATCTAATTTGATCCCACTGGTGCAGGCAGGGCCCTCATGATGCTGAGGCTCAGGTTAGAGTTGGGGTTAATGAAAAGACAAGCCCCACTCCCTCCACTCGGTGTAGCTACCATAGACATGAATAAAGGATATCTCTCTGTATCTCCCATAGCTACAGTACTATATACATGAATAAGGATATCTCTCTGTATCTCCCATAGCTACAGTACTATAGACATGAATATAGGATATCTCTCTGTATCTCCCATAGCTACAGTACTATAGACATGAATATAGGATATCTCTCTGTATCTCCCATAGCTACAGTACTATAGACATGAATATAGGATATCTCTCTGTATCTCCCATAGCAACATTACTATAGACATGAATATAGGATATCTCTCTGTATCTCCCATAGCTACAGTACTATAGACATGAATATAGGATATCTCTCTGTATCTCCCATAGCTACAGTACTATAGACATGAATATAGGATATCTCTCTGTATCTCCCATAGCTACAGTACTATTGACATGAATATAGGATATCTCTCTGTATCTCCCATAGCTACAGTACTATTGACATGAATATAGGATATCTCTCTGTATCTCCCATAGCTACAGTACTATAGACATGAATATAGGATATCTCTCTGTATCTCCCAGTGCTACAGTACTATTGACATGAATATAGGATATCTCTCTGTATCTCCCATAGCTACAGTACTATTGACATGAATATAGGATATCTCTCTGTATCTCCCAGTGCTACAGTACTATAGATATGAATATAGGATATCTCTCTGTATCTCCCATAGCTACAGTACTATAGATATGAATATAGGATATCTCTCTGTATCTCCCATAGCAACATTACTATAGACATGAATATAGGATATCTCTCTGTATCTCCCATAGCTATAGTACTATAGACATGAATATAGGATATCTCTCTGTATCTCCCATAGCTATAGTACTATAGACATGAATATAGGATATCTCTCTGTATCTCCCATAGCTACAATACTATAGACATGCATAAGGATATCTCTGTATCTCCCATAGCTACAGTACTATAGACATGAATATAGGATATCTCTCTGTATCTCCCATAGCTACAGTACTATAGACATGAATATAGGATATCTCTCTGTATCTCCCATAGCTACAGTACTATAGACATGAATAAGGATATCTCTGTATCTCCCAGTGCTCTTGAGGAAGTGTCTGAGTGTGATATCCCTGGACACTGAGACCTGTTACATCTGGTTCCTTCCTGTCTCTCCCTGACGGAGCAGAGCGGTTTAATTTATTCTGACACTTCGCTATAACACCCGTCTCCTCAGGGGCCTTTCTGGGTTCTCAGCTCTCCTCTGCTCTCGACTGTCAGATTGATTCTGTTCTTTTCTCTCATCCACATATGACCACTACGCTCACTGCCACCTCCGCAAGGAGGCCTTCAGATATACTATATGGCCACTCTCACTGCCACCTCCGCAAGGAGGCCTTCAGATATACTATATGGCCACGCTCACTGCCACCTCCGCAAGGAGGCCTTCAGATATACTATATGGCCACGCTCACTGCCACCTCCGCAAGGAGGCCTTCAGATATACTATATGGCCACTCTCACTGCCACCTCTGCAAGGAGGCCTTCAGATATACTATATGGCCACTCTCACTGCCACCTCCGCAAGGAGGCCTTCAGATATAATATATGGCCACTCTCACTGCCACCTCCGCAAGGAGGCCTTCAGATATACTATATGGCCACTCTCACTGCCACCTCCGCAAGGAGGCCTTCAGATATACTATATGGCCACTCTCACTGCCACCTCCGCAAGGAGGCCTTCAGATATACTATATGGCCACTCTCACTGCCGACTTCCGCAAGGAGGCCTTCAGATATACTATATGGCCACTCTCACTGCCACCTCCGCAAGGAGGCCTTCAGATATACTATATGGCCACTCTCACTGCCACCTCCGCAAGGAGGCCTTCAGATATACTATATGGCCACTCTCACTGCCACCTCCGCAAGGAGGCCTTCAGATATACTATATGGCCACTCTCACTGCCACCTCCGCAAGGAGGCCTTCAGATATACTATATGGCCACTCTCACTGCCACCTCCGCAAGGAGGCCTTCAGATATACTATATGGCCACTCTCACTGCCACCTCCGCAAGGAGGCCTTCAGATATACTATATGGCCACTCTCACTGCCACCTCCGCAAGGAGGCCTTCAGATATACTATATGGCCACTCTCACTGCCACCTCCGCAAGGAGGCCTTCAGATATACTATATGGCCACTCTCACTGCCACCTCCGCAAGGAGGCCTTCAGATATACTATATGGCCACTCTCACTGCCACCTCCGCAAGGAGGCCTTCAGATATACTATATGGCCACTCTCACTGCCACCTCCGCAAGGAGGCCTTCAGATATACTATATGGCCACTCTCACTGCCACCTCCGCAAGGAGGCCTTCAGATATACTATATGGCCACTCTCACTGCCACCTCTGCAAGGAGGCCTTCAGATATACTATATGGCCACTCTCACTGCCACCTCCGCAAGGAGGCCTTCAGATATACTATATGGCCACTCTCACTGCCACCTCTGCAAGGAGACCTTCAGATATACTATATGGCCACTCTCACTGCCACCTCCGCAAGGAGGCCTTCAGATATACTATATGGCCACTCTCACTGCCACCTCTGCAAGGAGACCTTCAGATATACTATATGGCCACTCTCACTGCCACCTCTGCAAGGAGGCCTTCAGATATACTATATGGCCACTCTCACTGCCACCTCCGCAAGGAGGCCTTCAGATATACTATATGGCCACTCTCACTGCCACCTCCGCAAGGAGGCCTTCAGATATACTATATGGCCCCTCTCACCTCCGCAAGGAGGCCTTCAGATATACTATATGGCCACTCTCACTGCCACCTCCGCAAGTAGGCCTTCAGATATACTATATGGCCACTCTCACTGCCACCTCCGCAAGGAGGCCTTCAGATATACTATATGGCCACTCTCACTGCCACCTCCGCAAGGAGGCCTTCAGATATACTATATGGCCCCTCTCACCTCCGCAAGGAGGCCTTCAGATATACTATATGGCCACTCTCACTGCCACCTCCGCAAGGAGGCCTTCAGATATACTATATGGCCCCTCTCACCTCCGCAAGGAGGCCTTCAGATATACTATATGGCCCCTCTCACCTCCGCAAGGAGGCCTTCAGATATACTATATGGCCACTCTCACTGCCACCTCTGCAAGGAGGCCTTCAGATATACTATATGGCCACTCTCACTGCCACCTCTGCAAGGAGGCCTTCAGATATACTATATGGCCACTCTCACTGCCACCTCCGCAAGGAGGCCTTCAGATATACTATATGGCCACTCTCACTGCCACCTCCGCAAGGAGGCCTTCAGATATACTATATGGCCCCTCTCACCTCCGCAAGGAGGCCTTCAGATATACTATATGGCCACTCTCACTGCCACCTCCGCAAGGAGGCCTTCAGATATACTATATGGCCACTCTCACTGCCACCTCCGCAAGGAGGCCTTCAGATATACTATATGGCCACTCTCACTGCCACCTCCATGATGAGGCCCTCAGACATGACTCCTCTGACTGCCACCTCCATGAGGAGGAGGCCCTCTTACAGTGAGGGAAAAAAGTATTTGATCCCCTGCTGATTTTGTTTTCCCACTGACAAAGAAATGATCAGTCTATAATTTTAATGGTAGGTTTATTTGAACAGTGAGAGACAGAATAACAACAAAAAAATCCAAAAAAACGCATGTCAAAAATGTTATAAATTGATTTGCATTTTAATGAGGGAAATAAGTATTTGACCCCCTCTCAGTCCGAAAGTTTTCTGGCTCCCAGGTGTATTTTATACAGGTAACGAGCTGAGATTAGGAGCACACTCTTAAAGGGAGTGCTCCTAATCTCAGCTTGTTACCTGTATAAAAGACACCTGTCCACAGAAGCAATCAATCAATCAGATTCCAAACTCCACCATGGCCAAGACCATAGAGCTCTCCAAGGATTTCAGGGACAAGATTGTAGACCTACACAAGGCTGGAATGGGCTACAAGACCATCGCCAAGCAGCTTGGTGAGAAGGTGACAACAGTTGGTGCGATTATTCGCAAATGGAAGAAACACAAAATAACTGTCAATCTCCCTCGGCCTGGGGCTCCATGCAAGATCTCACCTCGTGGAGTTCCAGTGATCATGAGAACTGTGAGGAATCAGCCCAGAACTACACGGGATGATCTTGTCAATGATCTCAAGGCAGCTGGGACCATAGTCACCAAGAAAACAATTGGTAACACACTACGCCGTGAAGGACTGAAATCCTGCAGCGCCCGCAAGGTCCCCCTGCTCAAGAAAGCACATATACAGGCCCGTCTGAAGCTTGCCAATGAACATCTGAATGATTCAGAGGAGAACTGGGTGAAAGTGTTGTGGTCAGATGAGACCAAAATGGAGCTCTTTGGCGTCAACTCAACTCGCCGTGTTTGGAGGAGGAGGAATGCTGCCTATGACCCCAAGAACACCATCCCCACCGTCAAACATGGAGATGGAAACATTATGCTTTGGGGGTGTTTTTCTGCTAAGGGGACAGGACAACTTCACCGCATCAAAGGGACGATGGACAGTGCCATGTACTGTCAAATCTTGGGTGAGAACCTCCTTCCCTCTGCCAGGGCATTGAAAATGGGTTGTGGATGGGTTTTCCAGCATGACAATGACCCAAAACACATGGCCAAGGCAACAAAGGAGTGGCTCAAGAAGAAGCACATTAAGGTCCTGGAGTGGCCTAGCCAGTCTCCAGACCTTAATCCCATAGAAAATCTGTGGAAGGAGCTGAAGGTTCGAGTTGCCAAGCGTCAGGCTCGAAACCTTAATGACTTGGAGAAGATCTGCAAAGAGGAGTGGGACAAAATCCCTCCTGAGATGTGTGCAAACCTGGTGGCCAACTACAAGAAACGTCTGACCTCTGTGATTGCCAACAAGGGTTTTGCCACCAAGTACTAAGTAATGTTTTGCAGAGGGGTCAAATACTTATTTCCCTCATTAAAGTGCAAATCAATTTATAACATTTTTGACATATGTTTTTCTGGATTTTTTTGTTGTTATTCTGTCTCTCACTGTTCAAACCTACCATTAAAATTATAGACTGATCATGTCTTTGTCAGTGGGCAAACGTACAAAATCAGCAGGGGATCAAATACTTTTTTCCCTCACTGTATATATTGTTTGACCACTCTCACCTCCAGCTCATTAAAACCTCTCTGCACTCATCAACAAACTGACTCATTCCTTTTCTCTCTGTTTGGGTTTTCCATTAAGGTCTGAGGGTGTGTTTGTTCCCACGCTGCCTCTCTGTAACACCACACAACACGTCCACAGAGCTTTGTCAACAGTCCTGGCTGGATTCTCCACTAACAACATTACTCTCTACTTATCTACTGTGTCCATGATTCACTACTACATTGTTAATGATGATACACCATTGACATCTTCATGATAGTGTTTAATACATTCTGACAGGGTTTTACCCATCTGGTTCTTACAAGTGTTTTTTCTCTGTATAAAATGATAGTGCTTCCTGCTGTCATTGGTTTGTGTAATGTCACCTTTTTAAAGTTATGTTATATGCTAATGTGATGCTATTGCGTATGTAGGTGTGGTTTGTGATGAGTATTGTGTTGGTGTTGGCGTTTGTCACTCAGATCAGTTCTTCTGAGATGTGGGGCTCTTTGAGTCTGTAGGAGTGTTTATCAAATCTGTGTGTTACGTTTGTATTGTGATTGTATCTGTGGGTGTGTGTCAGTGTATGTATAAAATCTGTGTATTTACATTAAGTGTGTGTGTGTGTGTGTTTCAGATAAACACCGGACAGGTGGGGGCTCTACTGGGTCGGCTGCCCTGTACCTTCAGACAGGAGCTGACAGGGGTGGGCGCCAGCCTGGAGAAACGCTGGAAGTTCTGTGGTTTCGAGGGCATCAAGACCACATAGAGCATTACAGAGACACGGAGGACATCACAGGGACACAGAAGAAACAGCATAGAGATCTCACAGTCCTATGAGGATATTGTTTTATGGGGACCGGCACTGGTCCCTTGGCTGTTGCTAACCAGTCCCTGTGAGGGTTAACTGATCTTGATTTAGTCAGTTCTTAAGTGCTAGTTATAATGTAAACAGTTTGCTGGTCCCTGTCACAAATAAGGTTGAGAAACACTGGCATAGAACTTATGAGGACACAGAAGTAACAACATAGAACTCAGACTGTACTTCACATGGGCAGGCCGGACCGTTCTCAGAACCTCTAATTGGTTAACTCTGCTGTCACTCAACCAGGACTAATACCCAGGGAGGTTATCAGGGTCTGCTGAACATTTTCAACCTCCAACCCCTCTGGCCTCTCACTCTCTCTTTTATTTCCTTGTTTGTACAATTCTGAGTAAAAATGGATATATTTCTTCATTTTCTGTAAAGGCTGTTAAAGGGATACTTCTGGATTTTGGCAATGAAGCCCTTTATCTACTTCCCCAGAGTCAGATGAACTTGTGGATATCATTTTCATGTCTCTGCGTGCAGTTTGAAGGAAGTTGCTAACTAGCATTAGTATGGGTATAGTATGGGTATCAAACTGCACGCAGAGACATAAAAATGGTATCCACAAGTTCATCTGACTCTGGGGAAGTAGATAAAGGGTTTCATTGCCAAAATCCAGAAGTATCCCTATAACAGTTGCATAGATTGATTTGTTTTCCTACTCTGTAAATGCTTGGATGATATTTTTAAATAAAAAATCAAAGCAATCTGAAGAATTGAGAATAGAGTTGTATTGAAAAGTTATTCTCGCTGGCACTTAGGTAGGCTGATTGTATGTGATGTGTGTAGATGCTGTATGTAGCATGAGTGGGAGGAAACTGCTAATCCAGTCAAGGATGGTCCCCAGCAACATGAGGAACCTTCAGCCTGCCAGGCGGCGGACATGAAGCCTCTGATAGGTACACACACATTCTCTCACTATCTCTCTCGCTCGCTCTCTCTCTCTCTCTTACACACACTGCTCCTTACACACACTGCTCCTGCCAGCCATGCCTGGAGAGATGACTGAGACCATTAGTGACTGGAGGCCACCTTTTGTGATGCTGGTTTTGGTCTCTTAGCGCTGCCCAAGGCCTGTCATTAAACCTTACCTAAGGCCATTTAAAACCATCAAAATCACATTATTACAGTGGGGGGAAAAAAGTATTTAGTCAGCCACCAATTGTGCAAGTTCTCCCACTTAAAAAGATGAGAGAGGCCTGTAATTTTCATCATAGGTACACGTCAACTATGACAGACAAAATGAGAAGAAAAAAATCCAGAAAATCACATTGTAGGATTTTGAATGAATTTATTTGCAAATTATGGTGGAAAATAAGTATTTGGTCAATAACAAAAGTTTCTCAATACTTTGTTATATACCCTTTGTTGGCAATGACACAGGTCAAATGTTTTCTGTAAGTCTTCACAAGGTTTTCACACACTGTTGCTGGTATTTTGGCCCATTCCTCCATGCAGATCTCCTCTAGAGCAGTGATGTTTTGGGGCTGTCGCTGGGCAACACGGACTTGCAACTCCCTCCAAAGATGTTCTATGGGGTTGAGATCTGGAGACTGGCTAGGCCACTCCAGGACCTTGAAATGCTTCTTATGAAGCCACTCCTTCGTTGCCCGGGCGGTGTGTTTGGGATCATTGTCATGCTGAAAGACCCAGCCACGTTTCATCTTCAATGCCCTTGCTGATGGAAGGAGGTTTTCACTCAAAATCTCACGATACATGGCCCCATTCATTCTTTCCTTTACACGGATCAGTCGTCCTGGTCCCTTTGCAGAAAAACAGCCCCAAAGCATGATGTTTCCACCCCCATGCTTCACAGTAGGTATGGTGTTCTTTGGATGCAACTCAGCATTCTTTGTCCTCCAAACACGACGAGTTGAGTTTTTACCCAAAAGTTCTATTTTGGTTTCATCTGACCATATGACATTCTCCCAATCCTCTTCTGGATCATCCAAATGCACTCTAGCAAACTTCAGACGGGCCTGGACATGTACTGGCTTAAGCAGGGGGACACGTCTGGCACTGCAGGATTTGAGTCCCTGGCGGCGTAGTGTGTTACTGATGGTAGGTTTTGTTACTTTGGTCCCAGCTCTCTGCAGGTCATTCACTAGGTCCCCCCGTGTGGTTCTGGGATTTTTGCTCACCGTTCTTGTGATCATTTTGACCCCACGGGGTGAGATCTTGCGTGGAGCCCCAGATCGAGGGAGATTATCAGTGGTCTTGTATGTCTTCCATTTCCTAATAATTGCTCCCACAGTTGATTTCTTCAAACCAAGCTGCTTACCTATTGCAGATTCAGTCTTCCCAGCCTGGTGCAGGTCTACAATTTTGTTTCTGGTGTCCTTTGACAGCTCTTTGGTCTTGGCCATAGTGGAGTTTGGAGTGTGACTGTTTGAGGTTGTGGACAGGTGTCTTTTATACTGATAACAAGTTCAAACAGGTGCCATTAATACAGGTAACGAGTGGAGGACAGAGGAGCCTCTTAAAGAAGAAGTTACAGGTCTGTGAGAGCCAGAAATCTTGCTTGTTTGTAGGTGACCAAATACTTATTTTCCACCATCATTTGCAAATAAATTCATAAAAAATCCTACAATGTGATTTTCTGGATTTTTTTTTCTCAATTTGTCTGTCATAGTTGACGTGTACCTATGATGCAAATTACAGGCCTCTCTCATCTTTTTAAGTGGGAGAACTTGCACAATTGGTGGCTGACTAAATACTTTTTTTCCCCACTGTACCTGTGCTCTTGTGCCTGGGCAAAGCCGAAACACACTCTTGGGATAATCTTAATGAAGCATCATTAGCTAATTATAGAGGCAGGTGTGTGTGTGTGTGTGTGTGTCTCGGTGAGCATGCGTACATGTACTGTGTATGTGTATGTCTCGGTGAGCATGCGTACATGTACTGTGTATGTGTATGTCTCGGTGAGCATGCGTACATGTACTGTGTGTGTGTATGTCTCGTTGAGCATGCGTACATGTACTGTGTGTGTGTGTCTCGTTGAGCATGCGTACATGTACTGTGTGTGTGTGTATATAAGGCTGTTTTACAACAGAACAGATGTTGGTCTCCCCTTCAATTTCCCCTCATTCCAGGTTGAATCCTGGCTGTCAGGTCCAGAGGTTCTTCCCAAAAGTCTGCTGGAGCGTTCCTAATGCGCCTCCGTCTGGCAATTTGTCGGCGCACTCTCTTCCCCTGTTGCTCGGGGAAACCGAAAGTTTAATACACATGATTTGCTCTCGTCAGTCTCTGCCATCTCCTAACACCTTGTGTATGAATCATTAAGTCCACGCGCTTGTCAGAACACCATCCGTCCTACCGTAATTAATAATAGGTGTTGAGTTGGTTTTCCCCATGCAAGGCTCCCTTCTATACATATGAATTTGCCTTGGCATGTGTTATTAACATGGGGTCTAAAGGGGAAGAGAGCGGAGTGGATTGAACACACACATGGCAGAACCATAGAGCAGACTGGAGACGTGTGTACTGTATTGTATATGGATCTACAGTGCATTCGGAAAGTATTCAGACCCCTTGACTTTTCCACATTTTGTTACGTTACAGCCTTATTCTAAAATTGATTAAATTGTATTTTCCCCTTATCAATCTATACACAATACCCAATAATGACAAAGCAAAAACAGGTTTTTAGAGATGTTTGTAAATGTTTTTGTTTTTTACGGATATCACATTTCCATAAGTATTCAGACCCTTTACTCAGTACTTTGTTGAAGCACCTTTGGCAGCGATTACAGCCTCATGTCTTTTTGGGTATGACGCTACAAGCTTGGCACACCTGTATTTGGAGAGTTTCTCCCATTCTTCTCTGCAGATCCTCTCAAGCTATGTCAAGTTGGATGGGGAGCGTCGCTGCACAGCTATTTTCAGGTCTCTCCAGAGATGTTCAATCGTGTTCAAGTCCGGGCTCTGGCTGTGCCACTCAAGGTCATTCAGAGACTTGTCCCGAAGCCACTCCTGCGTTGTCTTGGCTGTGTGCTTAGGGTCGTTGTCCTGTTGGAAGGTGAACCTTCGCCCCAGTCTGAAGTCCTGAGCGCTCTGGAGCAGGTTTTCATCAAGGATCTCTATATACTTTGCTCTGTTCATCTTTCCCTCGAACCTGACTAGTCTCCCAGTCCCTGCCGCTGAAAAACATCCCCACAGCATGATGCTGCCACCACCATGCTTCACCGTAGGGATGGGCCAGGTTTCTTCCAGAGGTGATGCTTGGCATTCAGGCCAAATAGTTTAATATTGGTTTCATCAGACCAGAGAATCTTGATTCTCATGGTCTGAGAGTCCTTTAGGTGCCTTTTGGCAAACTCCAAGCCGGCTGTCATGTGCCTTTTTTTGAGGAGTGGCTTCTGTCTGGCCACTCTACCATAAAGGCCTGATTGGTGGAGTGCTGCAGAGATGGTTGTTCTTCTGGAAGGTTCTCCCATCGCCACAGAGGAATTCTGGAGCTCTGTCAGAGTGACCATCGGGTTCTTGGTCACCTCCCTGACCAAGGCCCTTCTCCCCCAATTGCTCAGTTTGGCCGGGCGGCCAGTTCTAGGAAGAGTCTTCCATTTAAGAATGATGTAGGCCACTGTGTTCTTGCGGACCTCAATGATGAATAAATAGTTTGGTACCCTTTCCCAGATCTGTGCCTCGACACAATCCTGTCTCGGCGCTCTACGGACAAGTCCTTCGACCTCATGGCTTAGTTTTTGTTCTGACATGCACTGTCAACTGTGGGACCTTATATAGACAGGTATGCGCCTTTCCAAATCATGTCCAATCAATTTAATTTACCACAGGTGGTCTCCAATCAAGTTGTAGAAACATCTCAAGGATGATCAATGGGAACAGGATGCACCTGAGCTCAAATTCGAGTCTCATAGCAAATGGTCTGAATACTTATGTAA